TTTTTTTTGTAGGAAATTAGTTTTAATAATTCAACAAATATTTTCTGTGACCTTACAAAAGATTGTACAACAATTGCCAGGTCCGACTGAAACCCTGAACGCATTCTCGTTACTTTTTAAACCACTTTTATTTATGTTTGTCAACAAAACAATTCCCTAAAGGAATTTATTACATTTGTCAGGTTAAATGCCCAAATGATTCCTCAACTTTTAGTTTTAGATAAATTAGTCCCTAAACTTTAAAAATTATTAAATTTGTCCTTAAACTTTATCTTTCTGTTGCCAATTTGGATCCTCCATTGACAGAAGTGTCCCGTTAGCACATCAAGTCACCACAAATTTACTCTTTTAAAATTTAAAAACTTATGTGTACAGAGAAAACATTGCGTTTTGATGATTTGGTAAATTTTTTGTCTTTTATTTTGTGTGTTCAATGAATTAAAGTTTATGAAATTAATATTTTCATTAATTAAAAAAATTAAAGTTTACAAAATTACATAAATACCCTTCGCATTGTTTTTAATCTTCCTTGATTTCTCCTCTGTCTTCCCTATTTCTCTTTCTCCCTTCTCTAATCTTTTCTCTAGTGTTCTCTTCATCCCTCTCCCTTTCTTTCTTCATTCCTCTCTAACTCCTTTTTCTCTTCCTCATTGGGTCTCCTTGATTATCTATGCCATACTCATTCACCACCCAAAACTCATTTCCAGTTACCACCCTTTCGCATTCATCTAGCTCACTCTTGACTCATTGAAGGCAACTTGATCCACTCATCCATTCTTAGATCAAAAACCCATTCAAATTTAATGTTCTTGTTCTTGACGTGCCCACTTGCCACATAAACCTAGCCCAAGCAAGCCATGACTGTTTTGTTGAATCCCCTCCCCCTATCTCCACAATGGCCCCAATTTGCCTTCACAACTTGCCAATTGATAACAAAAGTAACTAGGTGAGGGAATTTTGGGATTTTTGGGATTTTGAATAATGAGGTTGATAATAGTGTTGTAAAAAGCGGGTTCAGATGTCACCTAACTTTAGATAGTGCCATTTTACCCACATCAACCTTTAGGTAAAAATTTAATGTGATTTGCATCATCCAAATCAATTAAGCATACCTAGACATTATTAGGCACACTTAATAGCACTTAAAGTGTCTAAGCAATTTTTTTTAGCCTAATGAAACAATATCGTTTAATTATTATAAAAATTATATTAAAAAATTAAATGCCAAGTATTCTCCTAAATTTTG